TCTTCCCAGCCTCTGCGGGCCCACCGGGCTGGCTGGGCGACAGGTTGTGAGTGACCTGGATTCGGGTTCCAACCCTGATGTTGGGCAGTGCGCACTAGTTCGTGCCAGAACCGGAGGAGTTGCGAGGCGGTGGAAGTAGATTTAGAAAACCCCTTGTTGGAGAGCAGGACACTCGACTTCTAACATAAAGGCTACCAACGGGGAAAGTTACAGGGGCGGTGGTGGCGCACGCCTTTAATCCCAGCACTGAGGAGGCAGAGGCAGGTGGATCTCTGTGAGTTCGAGGCCATCCTGGTCTACAGCGCGAGTTCCGGGACAGCTAGGACTGTTACACAGTGAAACCCTGTCTCGAAAAAAACCCAACAAAGTAAAGCAAACAAACAAAAAAAAAAGGTGTGTGGGGGGGCGGGGGGGTATAACAGAAAAAAAAAGTCCTTCTGGAAAATCTAACACATCAAGTAAATAGCAGAATTCCTATGATTCCTTACATGAAGTGTGTGAGGGACCTGGACGACACCTTGCGAGTTAAGTGTCCGGTGATAATTTGTCTTTTCGTCTGTCACTACCTAATTTAAACCTTTCAAATACATTGCCAAAGTCTCGGGTATGATTCCTTAGCCGTGAATTAAATCTTTCTTTCGTAACAGTATGACTGAATCCACTGTTTTCAGCCCCAATCGTACAAAAAAGACTGTACTTAAATTTCTCTCAAGCACTTAGAAAAAAATCTCAAACCTGTTTTGGTCTGCTCACTGTGATCATTGGCTTTCTTTTTTCTTAAAGACATAGTCTTAATATAGAACTGACTTTGTAATGGAAGGTGGCCTTGCCCCTGCCTCACTTTATTCAGTGCTGGGATTGCAGGCGTGTGACTTCATGCCTGGCTCTTCATTTTTGAATCTAAGGCTTTGTGCTTCAAGCTTTTTCAGTAATTACATTACTGGGTGAGTAAGATTGAGGAGAATGCTCCAGACTGCAAATGAATTTTCTGAGAACTTTGCATATATTCTACCATTCCAACTACATGAATGTTTTATTATTAATTTTGTTATTATCTGTGCCTATGTGTGATGATGGTGGTAGTCCCACGAGTGTGGTTCAGAGGACAACTTGGTGGGGTTCTTTTTCTCTCCTACCTTTACTAGGGCTCCAGGGATCCAACTAAGATTGCCAGGTTTGTGTAAAACATGATACTATATGAATATTTTTTATTTCAAACTAAAATGCTTGTAAGCTAAACTTGATGGCTCAAGATTGTAATCCCAGAATTGTGGAGGCCAAGGCAGGAAGATTGCTGGGAGTTCCAGGCCACTCTGGGGTACTGAATAAGACCCTGTCTCAAAAAGAACAGACACACATAAATCCAAGTTTAGGAAGAAGGAAAATCATGAAATCACATAATCCAGCCCAACTACAATATAAAAAAAGCTTTTTTAAAATGTCTGTAAATTTAATATACCTAATGTCTGAATTCTCATTTTAACTTATAACACATTGAAGGCATATCAGTACATAATGGAAGTTTATTAGTATATTTTTTTCAAATAACTTGACTGAAAGGTCACATGTTTGAAGAAGAGCATTAAATTCAGATTTGATTTCTGTGATAAGATTTCTTTCCACTTGAATCTGGAATATCAAAAAGGGCATTTAATTAATTATGTAAAAAAAAAGCAAGCAAGGTTAGTGCCAGGCAAGATGTGCCCACTGATACAATAATGTCAGGAAAGTTGTGGGAAAAACTAACTGCTTTGGGAGTGGATTTGAGGCCTATTCCACAGGAGGGAATTCCAGTCTGGTACTGTCAACCTTGTCAAAAGCCCATGGCTCAGGAAGGCATGTGCCCTAGGGAGGAGTCTACTGTTGTTGTTCTGTTAGGGACATGTTGTCAGACTACCTTCTGAATGATGCTTATGCTTATATCCATAGATTCATGTTGCTTTCAGTCTGGGCCAGAGACACTTGTGTTTGCAGCAGTCAGCAGTTAATGCAGAGACTCATAACTGGTGGAGAGCTGAGAATGTCTGGTGAGTGCTCTGTCCCATCTGGGCCATCTGTATCTGTCCTCCCTCCCTGCAAGAAGGGAAGGAGGTAAAAGCCAGAGAATAGGGAGAAGCCCATGAGATTCTGTTTGGGGGACATGACATGGTCCTTGCATCTGGGAACTCACTGCAGCTATGATCAAGATCAAATTAAACAGAGTAATTAACATTCTAATAGGCAGCACTAATTGGACTCAATGGGTTACTAATAGTAACAAAAAAGAGAGGACCTGAAGACGGACATGCTGGAGGTGCCTGGGGAGAGCAGGAAGGAGTTGGGGCTTCTTGTGGAGATGGATATATTTGAACAAGGTGCACTGTTTACACGTATAAAGTTGTCAAATAATAAGGTAGTTTACTAAAAACAGCAACAACAACAAGGTGTGAACTCAAGCCTGTAATCCCAGTACTGGGAGGTGGGGTTCAAAGCCAGCCATGTCTCAAACCAACCAACCAACCAACAAAAAAGCATTTATTTAATATTTACTCTAAAGAATGGTCCTAAGGGCTGGGTGGTCGTGGCTCCTGCCTTTAATCCCAGCACTCAGGAGGCAGAGGCAGGAGGGTTCTCTGTGAGTTCCAGGCCAGCCTAGTCTGCAGAGTTCTAGGACAGCCAGGACTATTATATAGAGAAACCTTGTCTCAAGAAACAAAACAAAACAAAAATTTAAAAAAAGAAAGAGAATTGTCCTAGGTACTAGAGAGAGAGAGAAAAAAAAAACAAAAACAAACAAACAAAAAAATGATACAGACCACTGGGTGGTGGTGGTTCATGCCTTTAGTCCCAGCACTGGGGAGACAGAGGCAGGAGGATCTCTGTGAGTCAGGACCAGCCTGGTCTACAAGAGCTAGTTCCAGGACAGCCTCCAAAGCCACAGAGAAACCCTGTCTCGAAAAACCTAAATAAATAAATAAAATAAATAATATAGTTCAAATCCCACAGGGAAGTAACTGGTTACACAGGCCTGCAAACAAATAATTGCAGTATCCTGGAGTAAACACTGTAATTTAGGGTTGTTTTTATTGCTGTGGAAGAGGTAGGAGCCTTTATTTTGTAAGGAAAGAAATACTTCATTACAGTTGTGACATTGGAGATGAAGGCTGAAGAAGGCAGTTTGCACATAGAAACATTTGGTGGGAAAGCATGGTACTGAATGACCCACTATGGCGCTTTAAAGACTTAGTTTTTCATTTTTGGAACAGCAGTAAGCATAGGAGTCAGCACAAAGAGAATTCACAGAATAGGGGCTAGAAGTAACTAGGGTCCTCACTCAGGAGTCTGGAGGTCATTCTTTGTTGTTGTCCTTTCAAAAATTATTTAATGATTTATTTTTAGTTAATGTGCATTGGTGTTTGGGTGTACATGTATGTGTATGGGTGTGGGTGTGGGTGTTGGATCCCTTAGAACTCGTGTTACAGACAGTTGTGAGTTGCCATGTGGGTGCTGGGAATTGAACTTGGGTCTTCTGGAAGGACAGAAGTTACCTCTGAGCCAACTCTCCAGCGCCTTATAGTTTATTCTAATGGTCCATGAGGAGCTGCTGAGTTTTAAGTATCAGTTCTGTGACCAGAGTTGTGTTTCCAGAAAATTCTCATTCTGGTAGGACACAATGCAGGGTGAATTAAAAGACTCAGTGCTTTAGGTAGGATATAAGAAGGTCTTGAATTTGTTAGTGTAGTGGCATTCCAGAGGAAGAGTGAGAATAGAGAAATCATAAAAGAAAATTCCTAGGTTTCAGGTGGCAGCAGTCATAACCCGCTTCCCTCCCTCATTGCACACCTTTTTTATGCTCTCCTGTAGCAATATCCTCATTTGGCCTTCTCCTCATCTTTATAGTCAGGCTTTTAAATGAGCAGAACTGGTAGAATGAATCTCCATATGGAATTTGTTAGGCTGTCCTACAGGATGTGGCCTAGGTAGTCCAATGATGCTGGCCTCATTCACGCTGGAGAGGCTAAGTCCAACAGTGACTCAGTCCACCAGGCTGCGTGTCCCAAATGTCCCAGTACTGAAGACAGGGAGGATCACCAGAGAACTGCTGCTCTTCTTTCTGTCTTTGGACTTCTGCAGTTGGAAGCCCAAAGAAAGTTGGTTCTAATATCGATGAAGGAATGTCGAAGCAACAGGGTAGATGAACTTGCCATCAAGGACAAAGGCAAGCAGGCTTTAAAAAGCAAAATTCCCTTTTTCCGAGTCTTTGTCTGGACCCCACCAGAATGTGCCACCCATGTTTAGGATGGGCCTTCCTACTTTAAATAGTCTGGTCAAGAAAGGAGTGCCCAGCCATTGTGCTTCAGTTGACTCCAGGTGCAGTCAAATTGACAACAAAGATACACTGGTCTTTGGTATAATAGCAGTTATGCTAATAGAAAACTTCTTGGATATTGGAACAAAAACTTAGTGTTTGCAACCATGTGATCCAATGAAGGCTAGATTCTTAGACAAGGGACCACCTAGAGAAAGTCATGGTTTGTTCTGACTGCCTCTCTTAGCTTCCTCCTAGGGGCTCTAAACATGTGTAAGGCTACCTACCCTTGACTCAGATCCAACCGAGGTCATTCAGACCAGAAAGATCAACCAGTCAATATTCGTATGAGAAGAAATAAAGACCATTTATTTTAAGCCTGCAGTTTGGAGAGCTCCAGCTTTCTTTCCTAATAGTACTTAGCCGGTACATAAGTGACCGATTAGATGTGGGGTGGGAAAGAAAGAGTCATCACTTGGGTGGCTAGAGAAATTAACATTCGAAAACTCTGCATATTGAAATAAATGAATAACTGATATTGAGTGGAGTAGAGTGTGGATGGGCAAGTGCCATCCGGCGTAAGTGCTGGAACCAAACTCCGGTCCTTTGGAAGAGCAACCACGGCTCTTAAATGCTTAGCCATCTCTCAGGCCCCATCTTTAAAAAAAAAAAAAGCTTTTTTATTTATGTGTGTGCGTGTGTGTGGACATACATGTGAGGTCAAAGGACAACTTGTGGAAATCCATTTTCTCCTTTCACTGTGTGAGTTCCTTGGTGTGCTGGTTAGGTTTTTTGGTTTTTGTTTTTATTTTTGTCAATGTGATACAGCCTAGATCTGGGAAGAGGGAACCTCAGCTGAAGAAATTGCCAAGTCAGCTCCACATACAGCCGTGTCTGTCTGTAAGAAATTGCCTTTCCTGATGACTGATGGAGGAGGACCCAACCCACTGTTGTGACATTCTCCCTGGGTAGGTGGGCCTGGGTTGAATAAAAAAGCTAGCTGAGGGCTGGAGAGATGGCTCAGTGGTTAAGAGCACTGGCTGCCCTTCCAAAGGACCCAGGTCCAATTCCCAGCAACCACATGGCAGCTCACAACCATCTGTAACTCCAGTTCCAGGGGATCTGACACCCTCACACAGACATGTATGCAGACAAAACACCAATTCACAAAAAATAAGAATTAATTATATGTTTAAAAAAAAAAAATGAGCATGAGCCAAAGGGAAAGCCAGTAGGCAATGCTTTTTCCATGACGTCTAACTCAGTTCCTGCTTGCGTTCCCTCTCTGACTTCTCTCGTGATGGACTTTGACCTACAAGTGTAGCCAAATAAATCCTTTCCTCTCCAAAGTTGCTTTTAGTTCGAGAGTTTGATCATAGCAACAGAACAGCAAACTAGAGCAGGGATAGAAATCAGGTCATCTGGCTTGGTGGCAGGTGCTTGTACCCACTGAGCCATCTCACAGGCCCCATTTAAAACTGTTGATTACATTTATTTAGTGTGTGTGCCACACCCACCTTGCGTGGGCACTTGAGAATGCTGCAGAGATCATTGAGTGTGAAAGACAGCTTGAGGGAGCCCGTCTTTTCCTTCTATTATGTGGTCCTGGGGCCGAGCTCAGGTTGTCAGGCTTTGTGACAGGTGCCCTACTTGCTGAGCCATTCCACTGGCCCTTTCATTTCTCTCTCTCTCTCTCTCTCCCTCCCTCCCTTCCTTTGTTCTTTTTTTTTTTTTTTTTTTTTTTTCCCAAGCAGGGTTTCTCTGTGTAGTCCTGGCTGTCCTGGAACTCACCAGGCTAGCTTCAAACTCACAGAGATCCACCTGCTTCTGCTTCCCCAGTGCTGAATTAAATAAAGTCTTATCCACCCCCGCCCAGCTGGTCCCTTGTCTTTTAAGACCAAGTTTCACGTTGTAGCTCTGACTAGCCTAAAACTCTTCATAGAAAACCATTGGACTCCAATTTGTAGCGATTGGCCTGCTGTAGTCTCCTGCGTCCTGGCTTGCAGTCATGTGCCCACAGTAAGTGCCCAGGATTTGCTTTTGTGTGTGTAACACAGGGAATAACATGCCTGTAATCTGAGCATCCAGGAAGCCGAGGCAAGAGACTCTTGAGTTTGAAGCCAGGCCGGGTTACATGGTGAGACCTTGACTTAAAAAAACAAGCTGGGCACGGTGGCTCATGCCTGCAATCCCAGCACTTGAGAGACTGAGGCAGGAGGATCACCACCAGTACAAGTCTAATCCAGGCTGCTACATACTCGATTCTAGGGCAGCCTGGGCTGCAAAATGAGGTTCTGCCCCTAGAAACCATCGAAAGAACAACAACGGTGTGAGCAGGTGGGGAAATAAAAATTCAGCTTCAGAAATAAGGTTGAGGAGGCCGAGGAGACAGCTGGGTGTGTAAAATGCTGGCTGGTTTCGGATTCCCCACACCCAAATAAAAGAGAACCTGTAATCCCAGTATCGGGGAGCAGAGTGACTGATTCCTGGGGCTTGCTGCTCAGCCAGTCTATGGGAGTCAGTGAGTTAGCTCCAGGTTCACTGGGAGACTCACTCAGAAAAAGAAGCAGTAGGCCCACGGACTCCTCTGTGATGTTTGACGTTTCTTGAGGAGCTGAGCAGACTAGTAGCTGCCATGCTGCAGCACAGTAAGTGGGGACATGCCATAACCTGTTGGGTGACTGTGGAAGGCTGCACCCAGATAGAGAAAGTCGAGGTAGGAAATTACAGTTTGTGTTGGGTTGACACAAACTACAGGTCAAGTGGTGGCCCTGGAGAAATCAGACTCGAAGGTGAAAAGGAAGGAGGCATACCCAGTATGCAGTCGGGGACACTTTCTATTGAAAGAGCAGAAGCATCCAAATGTATACAGTCTTCAAGATGTGCTCACATACGATTCCAGGTGATAGCTGGTTTGGATTCGTTTCCATGGATCTCAAGAAGACCCTGCTGCGAATGCATTCACAGATCAGTCTTGCTAAAAGTCATTTGTACCAAAACCTTCAGGGGACTGTGTTCTGTCACTCCAGAATAATTCTTTTTTTTTAATTAAATTTATTTTATATGTGCATTGGTGTGAAGGTGTCAGATCTTGAGTTACAGACAGTTGTGAGCTGCCATGTGGGTGCTGGGAATCAAACCTGGGTCCTCTGGAAGAGCAGCTAGTGCTCTTAGCCACTGAGCTTTCTCTCCAGCTCCCAGAATATTTCTTTACAGAGACTTAAAGACCTCAAAATCTATTGACGATGACAAAGGAAAAATCAGACCATCTGATTTGGGCTTTGGCAGAGCTCTTAGAACACACGCACTAGGAACGATCTGGAATAGGCCCCCAGAAACTATTCTACTCCGGATGGCATTGGAGGACAGACACCATGGTGTTCAAAGAACTGGTAACAGAGGAACCATTTCCATGAGGAATGAGAACTTGACCAGCTCTTTGGCATTTCAGAGCTCTGAGCACTCCTAATAACAAAGTACAGCCTGAAGCAGAGTTTTTACGGGTCTAAGGATCCGTGTCCCCATGGAAACCAGGAACATCCCATCTGAACATTTGGGTGAAAATGGCTTCTTTCCCTCAAGACTGCTAGTCGCTCATCCTGCTTGGCTTATCAAATATGTTCAATATACTTTTAAAGTGCATAATCCTCCTGCCTCATCTTCAGAATCCTGGAACTGCAGGCAGGCATCACTTTGACAAGCTGAATACATTTATTACTTATTTATCATTTATGGTTTTTTGAGTCAGGGTCTCTCTGTCTAACCCTGGCTGTCTGTCCTGGAACTTACTATGTAAACCAGGCTGGCCTCAAACTCACCGAGATCCACCTGCCTCTGCCTTCCAATTGCCCAGCCTTTGAACACATCTTTTTAAATGTGTTTGTATGTGATCCTAGACTCACCCACTTGAGGACTGAAGAAAAATTTAGGGTGCTAAAATTAGTCATTCAATTTGAAAAGTTTTGTTATATGTCAGGAGAGTTCAAAACAGAACTTAGTTGTTTTATTTTACAGC